GCGACGGCCCTGCAGCCCTCGGCGTTGCTCCCGCACCTCGCTCAGCCAGTGAGCGGGAACCGGTCTGTATGTGGGATCCGAACCCTCGGGCGGGAGCGCCGCCGCACTTCCCAAGCGGCGCACTTATCCAGTGCGCCACCGGGCTGGCCCCAAGCAGCTCCTTTTTTCAGTTGTTGTGATTGCTCACTCCTGTGTGGGTCCACGGGAACCCTGTTAGTGGTCTTGCTAGCCTGAGGGCCACGAAGGCCCTCTTCTCCCCTGCCACCTCAAAGCAACTTCATCCGAAGGGCACAGTGGTGGCTTTTGCCAGCTCCTGCTCCATGTGCTCAGCAGCTCCAGCCTGGAAACAGCCGGGATTTGAAATGGTAGGCGTGATTCTTTCTTTCTCTCATCGTGGCCTTCTTCATGAACTCCGTAGGTCTCTCCTCCTCTTCACCTGAGCTCTAGAGGCCCCAGCTTGGCTGTCGTTGCTTTTTAATAGTTGTAAATTGGTTGATCTGTGGGAGAGAGTGACACTGGGGACTGTCTATTCTGTTATCTTGCCTGGAAGCCTACTGTCCATATTTCTATCAGCATTCTGCTCACCACCATTTATCTAGTCTTTAAAACATTTAAAACTTTCCTTGGTTTTCTTGTCTTCTAAACTTTCACCAGTGTCTAGGCATTTTCTAGCCTGTTCCTCCAAATTCTTCCAGCCTCTCCTCAACACCCAGTTCCAAAGCCATTTCCACATTTTCAAGTATCTGTTATAAGCAACACCTTACTTCCCTGGTGCTAATTTTCTATATTAGTCCATTTCTGTTGCTTATAACAAAATACCTGGAACTGGGTAATTTATAAGAAAACAAAATTTATTGCTTACAGTTTCTGAGGCTGGGAGTCCAAAGTCCAGGGAACACGTTTGATGAAGACCTTGGTGGCAGCGACAATGACCCAGGGGTCTCACAGAGCAGAAAATGGCAGAGCAGAGAGAGAGACACTCACATGCTCACCTTTGAAAGCCCTCAAAACCATGCCCCTGACCACAATTATTAATCCATTCATTAGGGCATGGTCCTACAATCTAACCACCTCTTCAAGGCCCCACCTTTCAATTACCATAATAGGAATTCCCACCCTCTTTACACTGTCACAGTGGGACTAAGTTTTGGGGGGACATCAATCCATAGCAATCACTATCCTGAATTTCATGTTTATCATTCTCTTGCTTTACTTTGTAATTTTTCCACATGTGTTTGAATCAATGTATTATTTAGCTTTGCAGGTTTTTGAGTTTTTCTAAATGGAATCATAGTTTGTACCGTTTTGTGATTTGCTTCTTTCATGTAACATGATATTCTTGGTTGTTGAGTTAGCTATATAATCGATTCATTTTCATTACTATAGAATATTCTAGTGTATAAATATATTGCTTTTTGCTTTTAAAGACAGCTTTATTGAGGTATAATTTTAATAGTATAAAATTCACACATTTTAAGTGTACAATTTGATAAGTTTTAGTAAATTTACAGAGTTGTATAACCATCACCACAACCCTATTTTATTTTAGAACATTTCCATCATTCCCAAAATATCCCTTGGATCCATTACCCTATTTACTTCTTCAGTCTATTCTGAAAAGATATTTGGGTTGTTTCCAGTTTTTTTTTTTGCTATTTCAAACAGAGTTGCTGTGAACATGCTTGTACATACCTTCTGGTTATATATGTTTGAGAGTTTCTCCATGGTTCTGTTCCTAAGTATATACTTTCTAGAGTTTTAGGATAGGTATAGCTTCAACTTTGATATGCCAAATTGTTCTCCAAAATGGTTGTACCAATTTGCAGTTCCATAACTATGAAAGTTGTTCCATATCTTGGCTACACCTGAGATTGTTCTTATGGAGTTTTAGAGAGATTAACATAGAGCCTGCTTGGCTTTATCAGCAAGAGAAGAGAAAACCAAGACTTAGAGAAAGGAAGAGCCATTCAAATTTAGTAGAGTTGAAGCTCCTATGTTTTAAGAGCCTTGGCCATTAGCCCAGTGACTCAGATTCATAGGAAGGCCAGTTTTTTTGTTGGTCCTTAACCTCTCTTACACCTTGAGAGGCACTATAGCAAAGTAGCTAAGCCCATGGACTTTGTAGTTAGACTGCCTGGGTTCAAATCCTATCCTTGCTACTTACTTGTGTAACTTTTTTTTTTTTTTTTTCCTTTTTGTCTTTTTTCGTGTCCGGCAACAGATCGCAACCCTCAGTGTCGCGCCCGTACCAGACCGGGACTGGCAACGGGATCGCAACCCTCAGTGTTGCACCCGCACCTCGCTCAACCAGTGAGCGGGAACCGGTCTGTATGTGGGATCCGAACCCTTGGTGGGAGCGCCGCCGCGCTCCCAAGCGGCGCACTGTAGCAGTGCGCCACCGGGCCGGCCCTTACTTGTGTAACTTTGGGCAAGTTATTTTATGTGACTTAGTTTATTCATCTATAAGGTGGGAATGATAATAATACTTTTGGCATAGGGGTTGTTATGAGTATTAAAGATACATAAAGTGCCTAGAACAATCCCTAGTTATTAATTAATTAATGTTTTCCTTGTCCTTCTCAAAGGCACAAACTTTCAGGAATCCTCAACTTTGAAGACTGGCCACATGAGACCAGCTGTGGGCCTTCGCTTTGAGGTGGGACCTGGTGCAGCTGTTCATTCCCCGCTTGCCACACAAAATGGCTTCCTGCATTTTTTGCTTCGTGACTGTGACCTGGAGCTGCTCACTTCAGTGCTCAATGGCCTGGGAGCCTTCTTGGAGGATGAGGAGATTCCAGTGATAGTCCCCATGCAGATTGAGCTCCTGAACTCCAGCATCACCTTAAAGGTGAAAGGAACCTTTGATTTTTGCCCTGGACTTTGTCAGGCAAGGAATTCTAGCAGTGACAGCTATTAACTTCTTCCTTTGTCACCATAAAACATTGTAAAGATCAAGTGAGGAAATGCATATTAGCATTCTCTGTCAGTGTTATAGTAGTATATAAATGTGTGTTGCTGTCAAAAAGACTTGGGTTCAAGTGAGGAAACCTTATCTCTAACCCTAACTGTGTTTGGCATGCAGCATTACCATGTACAAGCCATCAGATTATCTTATCCTTAGTTTCACCATCTCTAGAATGGGAGATCTTCAGTTATGCTTTTCATATAAGAATTTATGGAGAAACAGTGGCATAAAACTGCTTCAATCTTAATGGTGGAAGCATGGGTTGTATTACCTAAATTTGACTGAGCTGGTTGGGTGCAGCATATGCTTTCCTTTTTTCCTGCAGGATGATATCCCCCCCATCTATCCAACGTCTCCAGGCCCTATCCCCATCACTCTAGCCATGGAGCATGTTGTGCTGAAGCGGAGTGATGATGGTGTATTCCACATAGGTGGTGAGTTGGACTTGTCAGCCTGCTGGCTTCTCTGCCTTTTTTCTGCTATAAGTGAAAAGGTAACAACTAGGAACTCTCTGGGTGTTGGCAGCAGTCACTTAGAACCTTTACTCTTTTTTTTTTTTTCCAGCTGCTGCTCAGGATAGACCATCATCTGAAATACCTAAAAGTGAGAAGAGGCAGCCCCCAAAAGAACAGGTGTTTCTAGTGTCCACAGGAGAGGTTCTTGGACAGCAGGTGAGGACCTAACTGAAGAGTACCTTCCTATATACCCTTAGAGGCTATAATTGTGCAAGCTGGTTAAACCTAGGAGGCTGAGAAGGTTGTGTGTGTTGTGTGCAGTTTGGTGGTTTGTGCTCCTGTCACCTAACAGCAGCTTCTAGAAGTGCTGACTAGAGGATGTAAGTTAGGAGCTAGAGGTGAATAGTTGCTGTCCCTGTAACTGATGAACTCTGAAGAGGGAATTAGGCTCTTAGAAAAAAATTAGTTCAGTTCTCTTGATCATCGACCTAACTTGTAGATTTATCTACTTGAATCCTTTCTCCCTATTCCCCTTACTGGCTGTTGTTGCAAGGTGGTTGTATTAGTTCATTTCTGTTGCTTATGACAAAATACTTGGAACTGGCTAATTTATAAGAAAATGAAATTTATTGCTTACAGTTTCAGAGGTGGGAAGTCCAAAGTCCAGGGCACATCTGGTGAGGGTCTTCTTTTGCTGTGGCTTTGCAGCAACACAGGGATTTCACATGACAGAAAATGGTGTAGAGAGAGTCTCTTTTCAAGTTCTCAGAACCTTGCCTCTGACCACCATTATTAATCCATTCACTACTGCACAGTCCACAATCTAAGCACCTCTTCAAGGCCTCACCTTTCAATTAGCATAATAGGATTTCCCACCCTCAACAGTTACACTGGGTTTTTAAGCTTCAGTGAGGTTGGCGAGGGGCAGCCAATCTATAGCAGTGGTATTACTGTGTTTATTAATTGTGAACTACTCATTGTTCCTCAGGTGAAAGAACTGCCTTCCCTTCAAAAAGAACTTATAGAAACCAAACAAGCATTGGCAAATGCCAACCAGGAAAAAGAAAAACTTCTTCAGGAGATTAGGAAATATAACCCCCTCTTTGAGCTCTGATAGCAGTGGCTCAGCGATCTGTGCCAAGGAGAGAGATCACCAGCAACAGCACCACCTAGGGCAGAAGGCACCGTCCAGTGGTTGAATAAGTCTGCTAAGGATGCCAGAGGGACTGGGTAATGCTCAATTCACTCCTTGCAGGTGTGCTTTTTACTAGCTGTTTTGACTTGCATGAGGACAGGGCAAAACATGACCATATCCCAGGAAATTGTGCGTGGCGAAAGCATTATATCTTGCCTGTATAAAGCCTTTTGGCATACTAGGTGGCATCTTTTCAACCCTGTAGGGCCATTTCACCTCCTGGGTTCATGGCAAAGATACTCGCTTCCTTCACAGCCTGTGTGAACAAGCAAAAGTGCCCACCTCCTCAGTTATCCAGAGCCACCAAAGATTCCATGTCCCAAAGCTTCCCGCAGCAGACTTGAAAAGTCCTTGGCCTGAGTTTTGGCTGTGGTAGAGGAGTGGAGCAGGAAATAGCCCAGTAAGGGGGGCAGGGGCAGGAGAGGCACAGGAATAAGGGAGACCTGGAGTCTGCCTTTTTTGGAAAGGAAGCCAAGCTCTTATCATCTCAGCCAATATAAAAATCAGACTTTTCAGGTTAAGCTTCCTTTCTGTTACACTGTCATCATTGCAATGCTGTGGTAGAAAGTAAACAGCAGCAGCGATTCAGCCATATCGTCTTTCCCCTCCATAATACAATTTATTTGAAATTTAAGTCAAGAAAATAGTATTCACCCTGAACTAGGTTGAAGGCATGATGTGGTAGGGATCAATAGGGGAGCTAGATTTCGAGCCCCCTATTGCCTTCCTAGAGTCCTGCCCCTCTTCCACAGCTGTACCAGAGAAGTCATTTCCTCTGTCTCCCTGGGGTCCTTGGCATAGCTGCTTTCCCAGCACTGTGACTTTCTACCATGGTGTCCTCAGCATTTGATGTTTGGGAGCTGAAAATGTGTTTTAAACTTTAACATCTCAGCCTATTTCTTCTCACCCCCCTCTATCACTGTGGCTTTTTAAAATCATATGATTTCGACTTAAGTAAACAAAAAATCACAAAAACCCTTCAATCTAGCTAGGTTTTGCCTCCTGCTCTATTAAAGAGCTGTTTTCTTCCTCTTTCTTTCCTAATTGTTCTCCAACACTCCTTCCTTCATCCATATTGCTCTGATACACTTCAAGTTGTGTCGATTGGACAGAAGTTCATCAGCTAACTCACCTTGACTTGGCAGTATGTTAAAATAGTGATTTAGTGATGTCACTAAAGTTATAATCATACATGACCTACTGAAGGAAAGATAAAATGGTTTCTTTTATGGGAAACCATGCTTGACTTGTATACTTTAGTTTTTGGAGGATAAAAAGAAACATGAAGGAACAAAATATGATTTGTTCAAGTTTTTAAGGACTTTTGTTAAGGTTCTTCACTAAGGCAATTTTTAACACCAGTTACTATGGTATTGTGTGAATTTGTCATGTCTAGGAAACAGCTTTCTGGAGAGAAATGTTAACCGGGAAGGTTTCCTAAGGGTTGACACTCGGTTCAGCCTTACTTAAGATTTTTATAAATGACCTGAAAGTAGAATTTTACACTGAAATCAAAATGTTACTACTTCCAGGCAGTGAAAGGTAGACCAGAAGACATTAAAAAAAACCCCACAAAACCACAGAAGGGTCACAAGAAGCAGGGCTGTGAATACTCAGAAAAGTGACAGGTAAGGTTCAGCAGAATAAGTGTAAGGAATGTATTTATAGAAAAATTATCAACTGATATGGCAGTGAGCTGTGGAAAGAACTCAGGAAAGAAACCAAAGCGTTGTTGAGAGGGAGGAGGGATCAATGTGCTGGTGTGGTCAGAATCCTGACCTCTAGGCATCATCAGGAAAGACGCTTGGAGGCGACAGAGAACACCTCATATAAAACCATAGTTATGTCTTAATCAAATTGTCTTTGCATTTCTAGTGACCTTATTTACAAAATGTATGGTAAAGGGAGGACAGGTCCAGAGAATAGCAAAAATTATCAAGGGGTGGAGGTACACATTTTTATGTGAGGACACATCTTTAAAATGTAGACAAATGTTCTACAAAGAGGAAAGCTGAGGTGAGTGTGTGATCAAATATCCAGTCAAGAGCAAGGACGTGGTCCTGAAATACTAGCTTTAGGGCTCTACCTCATGGCCTTAGGTAAAAGAAAGCAGTTCTAAAGCAAATCAGAAACTTAAGGACCTTGCTGTCAGAAGTCATGCTGACAGAAACTATACATGGGTGCAGAAGGTTTAAGAGTAATCCTTGTATAATGGCCTTTCAAAAGGAAAATCAGGGCTACTTGGTGGTATGTAAGTGAGAAGGTAACTGCATCCCTCCACAAACTGCCCCTTAGTCCTTTTAAAGGCACAATGTTGAACTGAATAGATGACTGGCCCTTTTAAGTATGACATTTCTAATGTTCTTGGAGTAGGGAGATGGAAATCCAATGGCTGGAAAATAGAATTATTCAACCTTAGGATCACCTGAATTGGCTTAAAATCACATTGTGATTCTCTTCCCTTTCCCATCTCCCCGACTCACCATATCCCTCTGGCATCCTTCCACGCAAAGTAAATGTCTAATAGGCATTGCATGTTATACCTTTACCTTAAGCTTTTGCTTGGGGGAGGCAGTAGAAAACACATCTGGCAGGCACCAGGGCTAACCCCTTAATGGCCAGTGAGGTTTCTAGGTTCTCTGAAGTAATCTGAAGCATTTGTCCATGTGACAAGTGGAGTCCTAGAATTTCTGACTTTGCTTATGTAGCAGCTTTGGCCATTGTGTCTTGAAATCCTCCTTCAGGGAACATGGGTAGGGGTCATTATCCCATGGAATTTTAGTAAAAACCATCTTGTATAATTTCATACTCCTGTTTATTGGAGGAACAAAGACTTTTTCATGATGAAGAATTGTGAACTGGTGGTAGTCCTCAGGATAAGTGTAAAGGAAAATAATGGAAGGAGAAAGTAGTAGTGCCAGCCCTTTTGGACTGCTTACGATTTCTGCCTTGGAGCTGTAAGACTCTGAACAAAAAATAATAATACCTCAAGAAAATGTCTGGAGTGATAGCACCACTATCCCTCAAAGATTTCAGCCACTGCACATTAATTACCATTTCAGCTGTGAAGCATTTACAACTATAATCTGTGATTGTCTAGATTTCCTGTTTACATGGATGTATGACACGGGATATGCTTTAGTGCGTATGTACTAGAATTTAAATCCTCTGAACTGGGCTGCAGGGATGGTTATCAATCTCAATTTCTGTTTTCAACTCACTGGAATAATTAACCTAGTTTCTCTGATTTAAGACAGAAGTGGGTTCTATTCACTTGATAGCTGCTGTTTACTGTGTATTTCATCTGACCCTCATTGTGCCATGGGCCTCAACCTTTATGCCCCCTTTTTCATGGTTTTGAAGGTAATAGTTCCTGTGTCTGGAATATACAAGGGATAAACACCATCGTCACATACTCCATAACTTAAATGTTTCCATTTAACTCATTTACATTAGCTTCCCCTCATGGGAACATCGGGATTGGGGTAGTGGAAAGAAGGAGTTTGAAGTATTGCCATAGTAATATGGGAACTTTCCATTCCAAACCTTTACAGTAGGGTTTTTTTTTTTTTTCTTTAATACTTGCCTAAACTTTTAAAATGTGTTATAGTAAAGCTACAAAATTATGGAAACAACTGAACTTTGCTACACAAGCTAATACGAGAATATCTGATTATTTGAGAACTGTAAAAGTTGTGTTGTTGCCTTGTAATTTATCATTGTTAAGTGTTCCAGAGAGAATATGGTGTGATTCACTATCCTTTCTGAGACTAGGGCCTTTACCTAGTTGCTCCCCAACATTCTGCCAGAATAGGAATCTTCCCATTTACCTCTGGGTAGATATGGATAGTAGCTATTATTGAATGGGATTATTTTCCCCATGGCACAAAGGGAAACACTCTTGGAAACCTTTAACAGTGAGGCTTTGCTAAGTGGTCAGACTTGAGATTTGATCTTCCTCCCTTGTTATTAACTTTCAGCCTTATTCAGTATCTCTAATTGCAATACATATAGTTCCCTCTAACTGTTAAAAAAATTCCTGTTACAGCTCAGAGAGTATTTTTGTGTCAGTTAATTAGTTTTGGGTCAAGATTTAGCCCAAGTCTTTCAGCATTTCTTTGTGGACTGCCCAACTAAAGTGTCTTCTCCATTGGCTAAGTACACATGTAAAGCCATGAGTTTTAATATGAGATACTAAAGGTCTGATTTGCCTAACTCTATGAGTCTGAGCTGTTTTCCCCCACTCAGGGTGCTAAACAGAATTGGAGTCTTTACTAAGACATGCTCAGGAAAGCTTCAAAAGAGAACAGATTCAAAACCCTTCTCTATGACAATGAATGGTAGAGAGGAAAGAATTCTTCGGGATTGCCAATTATATACAGTAGCCTTATTACTGCTAATCACTGTCAATAAAAGGTCATGCCACTCCCCTCTATTCGAGGAAAACAATGAGAATGTATTTGATAAGCGGGAATCCTGGTCAGTATTGGAAATTTTAATGTTGCAATATCTAATCAAACCTTGAGTGTGTAGTGGTTCTGTGAACCACCTGAATAAAAGCAAATAAAACTTATTAAACAATAAAAAAAAAATTCCAATGACATTTCTCTCAGAAATGGAAAGAACTCTCCAGACATTTGTATACTGGTTCTGTGAACCACCTGAAAAAAAGCAAATAAAACTTATTAAACAATATTGGTTGTGATATGTTTATAGGATTCTGAAATATATAAGCTTTTACATGGTTTTTAACAGTGCTTGAAAGTGCTTTCTTATGAGATAAAAATTTAATAGTTCTAGTGGAAAACGGAAAGGGCTCAAATTTTCACAAAAAAGCCAAGAACAGTTTTATTCCAACACCAAAAAAGAATGGTGAACTTCTCCCCATTTCACCCATTTAGACAGAAAATGAATACACATATGCCAAGTTGGAAAACAGTTTAATGAACACTCACCAAAATCCACAGGAGAAGCTGAAATGTTTATAAGCACAAATTATTCCACTACTCCTGCTATCACTGTGTCCTTCATGGTGGAGTGTCACAAGTCCAAAGTTTCTGGTTGTTTCATCTACTTAAAACCAGATGTAAGAAACAACCTAAGTCTTAGCAACTTTAGGCTTCAATGTGAAACCATCAAAGCTCTCTTGGATAGGTTTTCTCTCTGTGAAAGCAGCTTCCCTATCCAGTAGATGCTTAAGGCCTATGCACTTTTCTTCTGCCAACTAGCCAAGAAGTGAAAATTCCCGAAGAGGTCTCAAAATTTAGTCAAAGGCAAGTATGAAACAAGCTGCATTCCTTCTAGGTGTGACAAATACCAGAGTTTTGAGAAAAACATTAAAATCATCATGGAGTCCTTGGGGGACTGAGATGCTAAAGCACCAGTGCAGAAAATCTCATGTAACAGGAAGTCTCGAACCAGTACTACCATCAGTAATAGGCCTTTCTAGGCTTTGGTCTAGAAGAAGATGATTTTTTTGTGCTTGGAGTTGGGGATTTGCCCCTTTGACTTTAACCTTCGAACAGCTTCCCTCATATGTTTGGGTTGCAGTGGTGGCATTTCTCCCCACTTCTCACACACATCCAGTGCTAAAGAGGGGGCAAGGAGAAAGTTTCATTATCACACAAGAACTTATTAATCATATAATCTTTTTGAGTCCTGTAATTCTCATTAATACTTCTTAAGCTTGCTAAGGAAATAAACCAAGAAATTTTTCCTTCTTAAGAGAATGCTATCATAACATCAGGGACAACTCCTCACCATACCACACTGGGTCACTCCTGCTGACTGTTTTTCTTGTTTCTTTACTTTTGGCAGCAGAAATGAGCAAGGTCCTCTATAGGAAAAACAAAAGTCTGCTTCTGTCACCTTGGGCTGAGGACAGGAATCAGGGAGGGGAATTTCCTAGATGGTTCCTTGCTCCCTGTATTGAAAATTTCACAGGATAATGGTTATGCTCTCCTGAATATAAGGCTGCCCACTTGGTCAACTTCTAGTGTGAATGAAAACTCCCACAGGTGCTGTAGTAAGTTAGTATAGATATTCTTGACAGTAAGACCACCACAGGTACAATCCTGTATTTGTAACCAACACTACTCACCTTCTTCTACCACCTCCCCGACGAAAACCTTAGAAATACCAGACATAGCAATAACAACATTCTGAGACACAGAGGTGCCGGTGATGGACTGGATCAGCTTGAAAGAAAGACAAACACTCTGTGATTAAGGTAGTCAAAGACTGGCTTTGGAACATAGTACTGACAAATGAGCTTTGTGCTGAAAAAGTGTATACTAAAGGCTGGTGCTGAAAATTGAGACTATTAAAACAAGGATTCAGGTGTGTAATGACTTACTCTACGTATTGAGACCCTATTCTTGGCATACAGAATTGGAAATGGTCAGATAATTGAGGGGCATGTTATTTTTCTTTTCCCACCTATATAATTCAACAACTTCAAAATGCCAATGGACACAGCTCTTGAGTCTGGTTTAGTTCTAATATATGATGGAAATGAAGTATGGTGGTCCACTCTTACCCTTTTAATGGCTGCCTTAGGGAAGGCTGACCTGCGATACATTTCATAACGGTTCAGCTGCTCCTCAGAAAAAGAAGAAACCAGGATTCTAGACAAAGATTCAGGTAATTTAAGTTGGCTTATAGAATAAATGCTCAAGATATATTATTAAATAAATAAAAGCAAGTCTCAGATAATTCAAAAAGGAATTTTCAAGAGGTCAATGGCATTAGGCTTGGGGTTATGAGGAAAGAAGATAACACATTTTTGCTATTAAGGAACTTGAGAAAACATGAAACAACTTCCTTTCCTCATTAAGAACAAAAACTTTGGGCCGGCCTGGTGGCGCACTGGATAGTGCGCCGCTTGGGAAGCGCGGCGGCGCTCCCGCCGAGGGTTCGGATCCCACATACAGACCGGTATAACAAAGTAATAACTATTAGCTCCAGGGAGAAAAGTTGTATGGAAAAGTAAAATAATTAGTTTTCTTTTTCTTTACTTAATAATATAGAAATGTATTATGATGAACTCTTGAAAACAAAAATGTTCTTAACTATCTGATTTAGAAAATTCAAAACTGTCATAAGAGAAGAGATGCAGAAAATATAGTAAGGTGGGCCGGCCCATGGCTCACTCGGGAGAGTGTGGTGCTGATAACACCAAGGCCCCGGGTTCAGATCCCATATAGGGATGGCCGGTTGGCTCGCTGCCTGAGCGTGGTGCTGACAACACCAAGCCAAGGGTTAAGATCCCCTTACCGGGTCATCTTTAAAAAATAAATAAATAAATAAATAAATTTATATTCAAACAAGTGGTTTTCAACATTAACAGATTTAAGGGAAAAATATTTGCAAATTATATGGAAAATGGTTAATACTCTTAATATATGATTAATCCTTTCAAATAAATAAAAAGATGGACATACCAATTTTAGAAAATGAGCAAAGGACATGAACAGGACAATTTTTCTTTTTTGGCCACTGGCTGATACAGGGATCCAAACCCTTGACCTTGGTGTTATCAGCACCATGCTCTAGCCAAGTGAGCTAACCAGCCTGCCCAGAATAGGACATTTGCAAAAACACCAGTTGCCACTAAATACAGAAGAAAAAAATTAACCTTCACTATTAACTAAGGAAGTTAAAATTATATACTAAAACAACATTTTTCATAGATCAGAAAACTATTAAAAAGAATGGTATTAGTGAAAATGTGGGGACACAAACTCATACATGTAGGCAGTGTGAACTGGAACATCTTTTTTGAAGAGTTTGGAAACATGTATGAATAGCTTTTGAGAATGTTCATACTGTTTGAACTAGCAATTACACTTCTAGGAATTTATTTTAGGAGATAATGGACAAGTATGCAAAAATGTGCCCAAAGAAACTCACCCTAATGTGAAAAGAAAAAAACCCAACCAAAACAGCTACAGGGATTAGTAAAATTATGGTTCATCGAGATAATGGGATACAATGCAGCCATTAAAAATATGGTCTTATTTACTGACATATTTAGTCATACATATCAAACATCTAAAAAAAAAACCGAAAAGGTATATACTCAAATATTATATGTGAATACATATAGTTAGAGTAAACTCTGGGTGGCAGGGATTACGGATACTTTTTTCTATTTTTCTGTATTCTCTAAATTATTTACCATGCTATTTTTATGGTCAGAAAATATAATAAAGCTATTTCCATTTTGAAGAAAATGACCTAGATATATAATTACTGACATGGTGAACATTCACCATATATAATGTGAAAACCAGAATTTGACAGTTAAAAAAAATACTTAATTTTATTTGTAGATATATATATAGAGAGAGAAAATATCTTGGAGAATATACATCAAAATATTAGCAGTGTATCTTTTTTTTTTTTGGTGGCTGGCCAGTACAGGGATCCGAACCTTTGACCTTGGTGTTATCAACACTGTGCTCTAACCAACTGAGCTAACCGGCCAGCCAGCAGCATATATCTCTTGGTAGTGAGGTAATATTTTTTCTTTTTACTTGTTTATACTTTCTGTACTATGACATAATATATTAATTTCTTTATTTTCTTTTAAGTTTAAAAAAGTAAAAATAATTAAAAGCCAAAAAAAATTATGGTCAAGTTTGAGCCTTGAAATGGGGAATGAACAGAAAGTGACTTACTGCATCTTCTGAATCTCATCTTCATCCACTTTCTGCTTCTTCTCTTTCTTTTCTTTGGTATCTATTTTCAGTTTTTTGGCTGCAGGAGTAAGTAATGATGAGTCTTCCCTTTCAACTGCTGTTAAATCTGAGACGTCCTGACTCTTGAGCTGGGGAGGTGAAAGAAACCATTTTATATATTTGGCATACTCTCCAGGCTTGGGTGAGGTAAGAAGACATCATCATTATTACAACCCAACATATCCACACATTGAGTAGTTTCTTGGTTGTAGGCACTGACTGAACCATCAAGTGTATATACAGTATCTCTCCTAAAGGAAGATTATAGCCCAGCTGTGAAGAGAAAATCAGCTAAATAATCCAGTTTTCCAGTTTAGCTATGATCACAGTTCCAGTATCTGTTTACAAGGAAAATAAATGCTAAGGATCATGAAAACCACTCTCCTCCTGGGCCCACTTTCCTAATTTCATTCTTTAGAGGGGATGTCAGCAAAGTCCTCTCTAGCCAACCAGCTCTTCTGCCTCTAGATCTAAAGATCTAAATCTATAGATCTTTACTGCTGCCAATTCTAGATAATAACTATATATATATTTTTTTTGGCAGCTGTCCTAGATGAGGATCTGAATCCTTGACACTGGTGTTACCAACACCATGCTCTAACCAAGTGAGCTAACCAGCCAGCCTACTGCTGATTCTATATGGAAAGAAAAAAGAGGCCCCTTCTCATCAAAACAGTGTTTCTTTCAATTTGGAAATTTTAGGTGAGCGAGTGTCTCCCACATGCAATGTGCTCTTTTCTTCCTATCCTTCAATCCTACTGTACCATGCAAATATTTATGCAAATATTTATTCCCAATACTAGACTGAATTTTTTTTTTTTTTTTACTTCAAAACAAGAGATTTATTTATT